CCTTGCACAATCATCTTTGCTGTAGACCAGTGTCATCTCAAACCATTGAGAATATGTAGGTTTGTTTCATGATTGCTTCGTACTGTGCCCGCATTTGATAACTTCGTGATGATGAGATTGAAACGTTTGAACAAACCGTCAAGACTTTCACCACGAAGAGCTTTAAAGTCGTTAAACTCATTTAGTATTGTAGTGAGTTTCTTGTCTTCAGCTTGTTCTGACCCTTGATAGAGATTCTTTAGCACATCCCAAATCTCCTTCGCATATTTCAATTTGATGATAATATCAAAGTTGTTTGGAGCCACACCGCAAGAGATTTCATAGAAGGTTATAACATCATTCTCCATTTTGTCTAGATCATCTTTTGTTGGTCGATTCATTGTTGGCTGACCTCCAACTAGTCTGGCCTGAGTACCATTTTGCTTGAGCAGGAGTGAGAATCGGGACATGTGGTCCTTCTTCAACAAATCTCCATATATATCTTTACCGAGCCTCTTGAGATACCTTTCCATTCTTTGTGACCAATGGTGGTACTCACTTTCAACAATTATTGGTGCTCTATTAGAGCCTCCAACATTGTTGGGAACATTCAAAGATAAAGCTTGTGCCATCTTTCCTTTGTTTTTTTTTTATTATTTTCAAGAATGGGCTTTAGTGGCATAGAAGGCTTTTCAAAATCAGAGTTTTGTTTAAAAAGCAACCACTTAAGCTCTGATGCCAATTGTTGAGAGAAAAACTTTTGAGAAACACTTGAACAAACGTTACTACAAGGTAAAAGTAGTGGAATAAGTTAATCTCAAAGGATCATGTTAGCTCAACAATAATAAGTTAGAATTGTTAGACAGTTAGTTGCGGAAATGTTAAGTGCAGAAATGTAAAAGAAATATAAATGACAACAAGCTATATCAAGTATGCACCAAACCGAGTCGTAACAAGGTTTGCGGTCAATCACGATTTTGTAAATGTGAATAGTTTAAGGTGAAGAGAAACTCGAAAATTCAGATAAGATATAGAGAGAATGATCTTTTGTATTTCAATGAAAGTTCATATAGATCTTGAAGAAGTGGTAAGATTACATGAAGAAGGGAATCTCTATTTATAGAATCCCAAAAAGTTACATCTAAAATAAACAACTAATATTCTAATGACTTAAGTGACCATGCAATGTTCACTAGATAAAGTTAAGCTAACACATTAATTCAGTTAATGTAAGCAAAAGTCTTCATCATTTTTTACTACGGTAGTGGTTGTGGTTCACTACGATTCACAAAACAACTTCTTTAATTTCAACTTCGGTAGAAAAACTTCAGTTGTGGTAGCCACTCCAATTGCGGTAGACAAAAACAAGACTACGGATCATTAAAGTTAAAGAGGGTCACTTTTTGTATCAACAGTAACTTCATCGTGAAATTTAATATGAAATTTTGGAAAGGTTCACTTTAGAGTTACATGGCATGCTTAAGGTCGCTTAGTCTGACAACATCAAGAATAAGCCAATCAACCAAACCCAACTATTCATGTTGTAGCTGTGTGGGATGGAGGTATGAAGAGAAAAAGGTCAAATCACTAGAAAATCAAATAGAAGGGAAAAGCTAGTTTTACAAGCTTCGACTCCAAGCTTAAAGAGAGTAAGGCTAGCGTGAGGTACCTTCAATTTTTTTATTCTTTTAGTTACTTCTATTTAACATCATATATATAATAGTAATTCGAACTTTGAAATGTAGTTATACCCATTCAATAATAACATTTTTATTGATTTTTAGGATAGTTAAATCCAAGGTTTTGAAGATCATGATCTTACCTAAGATCGTTTTAGGCTCTACATAATCACGATCAGAAGATCCTACCAAAATGAACATGCCTCCAGTTTTCCTTGTAAGGTCTTATTTGTACAATACCATTTTAAATGATTTTGACTAAAGCATTAATAATGGTCTTAACTTTGAATTCTTAGTCACAATTGCACGGACTATAATTCTTGTAGCTGCAAACCAAAAAAAACTAAGAAGAAAACATCTCAAACATAAAAAGAAACAAGATTATTGTTATCCTCGTGATCATTTACATCTAAAGACATAAGACAACAATAGGACTAACAAGATTGTCAGGACAATTTGTTTAATTTGAGTTGTAGATGAAATGATGATGTTGTGTGAGACTCCTTATGATTTATGATGCTCGATTTCAAGTAGAATAACTAAATTTATAAGGCTCTATTATATAATAAAATACTAAAAAAATAACTTCATATCGCGATATAATCTTAAATTATAGTTAGTTTCCTAAGATATTGCTTCAAATAGATTATATGTAACTAGGGTAAGGGTCAATAGAGAACCATTATTAACAATGAACAATGAACCAAATGTGAGCGTTGAAAATCAAAATGATTAACGACCAATCGAATTGATGTACGCTTGTACATTGGATAGACATACACCAATTTATATCATAAACCTACCTCTTTACCAAAAACCCACCTCTTTTTCTGTTTAAATTTTTTTAAGCCACGTTTTTTATCCAAAAAAATCTGAATATACCCTTGTTCACGATTTTCGATCCCTTTCCATAGAATTTAATGTTGATAAATAAAAAAGACAAAGCTGCACAAATGGTCCTTGTGGTTTACACAAAATTACCACTTTGGTCCAAAAATGTTTTGGCTAGCACCACAAGTCCAAAGTTTCCATTTTCTTGCATATTTGGTCTAATGGGTTAACTTCCTTCTATTTCCCTCTGTTAAGTTATGTTTGACTAGTCAAATCAGGGGTATTTTGGTCATTCCCTATTTATGCCCCGTATTTTATATTAATAAAGGAGAGCTATAAGAACGAATCCCAATCCATCTTCTTTGTCGTCGTTCTCATTTTGGTCTTCTTCAACTCTGCGATCGATTTCTTCAAGAAATCAAAATCAAAAATGGTGCTTTGTTTTTGTGGTAAAATGGCCATAGTTCGCACAGCATGGACTGATAAAAATCCATGTAGATGCTTCTGGGGATGCCCTACTGAGGTACGCAATTTTTTTTTGGATTTCAGCATAAATCTCCCATTACATGTTACGATCTTCTTTTGTTTCTTAAATTTTGAAGAGATCAAAATGTTGATTTATTGGGTGGTTTGATGGTCCAATTTATGAACGTTCAAAAGCTATTATACCTGGGCTGCTGAGGTCAATCAACAAATTGAAGTCACAAAATACAAGACTCAAGTGTTACCTGTTACGCAGTTGGGTGTTGTTCGTGTTTGTTCTGGCTTATAAGAAGTAGATTGAAGTGTAATGGTTTGGGTGGTTTGTAAGTGTAATTGTTTGGCTGGTTTCTAAGTAATATATTGAAATGTAATGGTTTGGGTAGTGTTTTAATGTTTTTGGTAGTATCTTGTTTAAGCAATGTAATCTTTTGGGCAATACTTTGTGGTAGTCTTTTGTGGTTATAATGTAAGCAATGTAAGACATGTTTTGCAGGAATTTGTCAACGGTGATTATATTTGGTATGTACATTTTGACCAATTTATTTTATTTGTGGTTTTGTTTAAAAGGGCATATTGGTCAATTTATATTGGGTAATTTTGTGTAAACCACAAGACCATGTGTGCAGTTTTGTCTTGTGGTTTTGTTTAAAAGGGCATATTGGTCTATTTATTTTTTATATGGTTTACACATTATCAATGACAAATATATGTTTTGATTAAAAGGGCATATTGGTTGTGGTTTACACATTATCAATGTAAAATGTATGTTTTGTTTAAAAGGGCATATTGGTCAATTTATTTTGTATGTGGTTTACACATTATCAATGACAAATGTATGTTTTGTTTAAAAAGGGCATACTGGTCAACTTCTACAACAAAAAATTATACATGACAATAACATCAAGACATTAAACATAACATAAGCCATTACATCAAATCCAGTGTAAATTGTTCCCCATACATCACATGGGTACACTATCAAGTACCAAAAGTAACATCCAAAATGGTTAAACCCCAAAACACAGAATGTACTAAACATACAATACACATAAACATAACATTATCCCAAAAAGACACTTATACCCCTACAAACATCAAAATCCCTTGAAATCCAATCACTTACCCCCTTGGCCTTTGCAAGTTCTAGCATTGTGCCCTTCAATTTTACACTTGCTACAAGCACTACTAGAAAAAAGACCTTTAATGACGCGCTTTTTACGACACGCGACAATTAACGATACGGAAAAGGACGTGCCCTTAAAATAGTGTCATCTCTCCAAAAAATTTAAGGATTTACGTCACGCTTTATTGCGTGCCCTTAATTTAGTGTCTCAAGAAAAAAAAATTAAAAACACAGAGGGCGCTTTATCTTAAACGCGCGTCGTCTGTACCTGTCGCTTTATAATTTTAATGAAACACGTTTTTAGTAGACAAGGGGGAAATGAAATCCCCAAAATTTTGAAAACCCGCCTTTTTTTTTTCTATCTTCTATCTATCTTTCATCTTCAACCTAACAAGGACGAGCATTGCACTCTTGATTTCCCTAACTGTTTTCTCATTTTCTGATTCAAACTTGAAAGAATCAAAAAAAAATATATCAATTTTGAAGCATAAAAAAAATCTAACAAGGACGAGTATCCATCGATCCGACTTCCAAAAATAGAGGGCATCGATTCCACGTCTTCCGGGGTTGGGAGGAAGGAAAAACTGTTGGTCCCGTGTTGGTTTTGTGATGTTCAATCGAAGAAAGGAAATCAGAATCGACGATCGCTGATTTCGCTAATATCCACTCCGACCTCTTATGAACGCAAATGGTAAAGATCTGCTTCGATTTCCCGATTGGTCTTCCTTTTTTTTCTTCTTTCCCTCTTGCCCTAATTATCGACTCCTCATTTTTCTCTCAGATTTGAGTCTCCTCTTTCATAAAAAATAAGAGGTATCAAGGTAAATTTTCTGAGATTCGAAACTATATGACTCGAATTAGAGGTTGAAGATCATAAATCGATGGTTTATTCTGTCTTGGAACACATGGCTCTACGAACCCTCGCGTTTGCTAAAACCCTAGTTGCGATATCCAGGTTTTATCCCTCTAAATCATCCAATTTCATTTCACTTTCCTAACATTCATCTCCCTCTCTGGTTAATCCTACTCTTTAGGACCTCGTGACTATCACTAGTCCATTACATAGTCGAAAAAAGCCCCCTAAAACATAGCAATGACCAGTAGTTCTAACATGATTCATCATGAGTGTGTGTTGGATTTTTTGCCTTGTGGTTCTGGTAATTATTGTATCTTCAAAATTTTCTGATTCAAAATTTTGAATATAAAATTTGATTAATTAACATCTATTTTGTAGGAATTGTCACTTGTCCTCTTGTTCTACTTCTTTATAAGATTAAAGAAGGAAAAGAATATGCAGAGTTTGCTCACATTCTATGAAAGTGGTTCACTGATTTTTGGTATTATGACTAAAAAGCTTATGATCCTTTTGTAATTCTCGATCTCTCTGCATAATCTTCTTATATATTATATACTTTTGTAGTTGCTTTGAGGAAGGAGTTTGCTGATGCAACTGACAGAGTGACAAGTCATACCAAACATATTTCATATGTTCCTATGTATCTCAGTATCTATTCTCCAAATGGTAATATATAATTATAAACAAAAGATGTTTCATGCATATCAAATGTTAGAAAACATAATAAGTTATTAATAAATCTATTATGTCTAAATTTTTGATCTTTTATAATAAGTTACCAAATAGATTTCATTCGGATGAAGATAACAGGCCTGCTGATTTATTTGATATAACATCGGATTTATCATTGGTGTGTAAAGCTTGTTCTTCATTTTACTAAAGTACACCTTTAAGTTTACTATCTGGATTCTCTCTGATTCTATCCATGCCATCTTTGAGCAAATTTTTGCTTTAGGCCCTTACACCATGACTGACAACTTATTCTTTGAGCCACTATCTGATCTTCTTGCATATGCGTAAAGAAAGCAGCCTCAGTTGCTTATACTGGTGAGAATTTACAATTTTAAACCTATATAATAAGATTAGCATTCTATCTTGGGATTTCCATTCCCCAGTTTATCTTTACTCAATTCGTTATATCATAATCCATAAAAACATACAAAACATGAAATTTCTTACAACTTTTTCCACATTTCATTCAAACATAAACCATTTTCAGGTTCACCAGGAGTGGGGTTCATGCCGCATATCCTTGATGTTAAAGCTGGAGAGGTGCAATCATTATTCGTTTTGTGTTTCTGAAAATTTTTACTTTACCAAAATTCATAATTTCTTATCTAAATGCAGGCTGTGTTGGGAAAATTGATGTGGTTTTCTTAAAACAGCACTCGAGCTGTGTGCATTCTATCAGTTAATGGCGCCATATCTAATGTTACACTTCAGCAGTGTGCAACATCTGGTGGAACTGTCACATACGAGGTTTTTTTTCTTGAAAATTCATTATTTATTTATTTTTGATGTATAAAAAATATTTAATTTATTTATAAAAAATACAGGGACGATTTGAGATCTTATCTCTTTGTGGTTCATTTATGGTTTGTGAGAGTGATGGGCAAAGAAGCAGGACTGGTGGTTTAAGCGTGTCACTTTTAGGGCCAGATGGTCGTGTTTTAGGTGGTAATGTGGCTGGCCTTCTCACTGCTGCATCACCCGTTCAGGTTTTTTTTCTTTCTTTCCATAAATATGGAATGGAATCAACCATTCCATTCCTGATTCCTGATTCATGTCTCCTGATTCCAAACCCTAAGAAACTTTGTTTTTATCTTGGTAACTTTCACAGATGATTGTTGGTAGCTTTGTTCCTGCAAGTCAGAAACAAAGAAAAACAGAGGCGAAAATAGTCAACACTACTCCCGTCAATGTGGGGACCACAAGCGGATCTTCAGGTGGAGGGATCGGGAGCCCGCTAGTCCACAGTAACAACAGTAATCCACAAGGTATGGCTAATATGCCTTGGAGGTAACTAAATGTCTAAATCCCATTTGTTTGTGTTGTAAGCAACATAACATAACTCTCTATTAGGAAGGAGAAGGAACCTTGTCTTTTTTTTGGTTAAGTTTCTAAATTAGTGTGTAAGGGTAGTTGTATGCCAACAAACTTACTGTCTTATTTAATTCGGAAATATGTGGTGTAATTTGCAGAAAGAACATCACATGGATGATCCTTCAGCTCGGTAAGTCTATATGATTTCCTAAAAACTTTTCATCCTTTTCTTGTTATTTTGTAGTTATTTAACCCATCTTCACGCTTATTTTGTACTTATGTTTTTTGTGCAGGCAATATAGATACTGTGAGCAAGTTCATAGATTTAGAGTCCTTAAGTGGTGTTATTAAGGAAGAGTGGAGACAAGTGAGGCACACATTTAAAAAAATCAACACAAATCTTGTTTATAGTGAGCCACACATTAGGTTATTAGAGCTATTAGTTTGTAGATTTTTGTTACAACTTTTATTGATTTGTTTTATTTTTCTATGGAATAATTATTTGTATGACATTAAATTTTATGTAATGGATTATATTTTTTGTATATGATATATTATTTTCTATTATTGGACATTAAATGCAAATTTAATTTGAAAATTAGTAAATCCATAAATAATTTTTTTTAACATTTAAAATTATGATACGCAAAAATGTGTGTCATCTTTATTTATGACATGGCCTTTCTTGACATGGGCTTTCTTGATACGCATTGTGTGTCATAAACACGCGCGTCGTAAGGTTACGACACACGAATGCGTGTCGTCTTCCTTTATCACAGGGCCTTCCTTGATATGCATTGCGCGTTGTAAACGCGCGTCGTAATTGCGCGTCATAAATGCGCGTCGTCTCTCTTTATGACAGGGCCTTCCTTGACACGCATTTGCGCGTCGGCTGAGCGTTTTACGACGCACAATGAGCGTCGTAAAAGGCCTTTTTTCTAGTAGTGAAGTTACTTGGATAAACTTTCTTGTAAGCTTTCCACTCCTACTAGCAATAATGCTTTGACTCCCACTACCACTAGCAACATTGTCACCCTTCTTCTGGCTTTTCTCCTCAGCAAATTGCCTCCTCTTTTTCTTTGGCCTTCCAGGCTGATTTTTGTGTAGAGGAGGGGTGATTTTAATTGGGCATTCACTTATAAGCCACATTGCTCGACCTTTAAAAGGCTCTACCTTGTACACAAAAGCTGCTTTCCATGTTTCTAGCCAGTGCACCCTGTGGGCATAAGTGTGCAGTTCTCCAACTTCCTCACCATTATCTGCTTTGTCATTTAGGACTGCAATGACATGCTTACAAGGGAGTCCTGTTAATTCCCGCTTCCTACAACTGCATACTCTTTCAACCATGTCAACAACATGTTGATCCTGCCATGGCCCTTGCACTTGGTATTTATCTGACCCGTTCCACCTAACTGTGTACTGAGATGCCCAATTCACATTCTTCTCCATGATCTTTGTTGCAGATGGGGTTAGTGGACCAACACACTTCTTTTGCACCTTTATGACATTGCATATTCTTTTCATCATAAACTCCCTAATGTACTCCAAGCAGATTATCAGTGGCTTGTCCCTTCCCTCAATCAATTTGCTATTTAAAAATTCACAAAGATTATTCAGAAACATATCTGAAACTGCTCTGCCTGAAAACACCACAATATTATTAGGACCAAACATATACTAATACAAAAGGATCCAACATATACCAACACAAAAGGGTAAATTTGGAAGCTGAAGTATATACCTGTGAAGTGGCTTCTTGCCCAATGTTGTGGGGGAATCTGCTTCAACCAGTTATAAGCTTCTACATCATATGAACTGAATTGCTGCATCCTATGATTGAACTCTGGTACTATTGTTGCTGTAGTACAATTCCACAAGTGTTCTTTGTACTCATTAGTTCTCCATGTTTTTCTCATATTGTCATGTGTATGCCTGAGACAAAACTTGTGCTCAGCACATGGGAACAACTGAGAAATGGCAGTCTGCAATCCCTGCAAAGGAATTAAAACATAGTTAATATAGCACATCCAAATATGTCAAATATAAACAAAAAATTACAAACCTTTTGTTTGTCACTTATAAATGTGAATTTTGAGTTTGCATATAGGTCCAGATCATCTGCAATACACTCTAGAAACCACTTCCAACTGTCAGTGTTCTCAGTCTTAACAATGACATAAGCTAGGGGTATATTCCATTGTTGGAGTCTACCCCAACTGCAGTTCAAATTTGTCCTAGGAAAGGGCCCTTCATAAATGCCCCATCAAAACCTAGAAAATCCCTCAGGCAAGCTCTAATGCCCTTCTTCATTCCACCCAAACACACGTACATCCTTTTAAACCTTCTTGAGGTAGCACTTAGGTTGGGTTCTGAATCAAACTCTAACATCATAGTGGTTTCTGGATTAGTAGACTGCAACTCCAGGATGTGATCTCTAAGAACATCATATTGCTTTTTGTAATCACCCTGGACAAGTTTTTTTGCAGTTGATTTGGCCCTGAATACCTTGTAAATAGAGAATCCAACTTGATAATCCTTTTGAAGTTATTCTTGAGGAGCTCTGACTGGGATTGTTGGGTTGGATTCAATCTGGTCCATTATCTGCTTAGAGATAAACTTTGTTGTTGCAGATCTAACTTTTCTTGTCTGGAGGCATTTATGTTCGTGGTTGTAAGTTTTTATGAACCAATTACTATTTAATCTGACCTAGAACCTTGTATCACCCAAGGACAAGGGGTAGGTTCACCGACATGACCATCATTAAAGGCTACAGTTCCTTTACAGATTGCCCTTAACCTCATATTGTCGTTTTTCACAAAGAATATATTCCTTCTTGTTTCTAGTGCATGCAATTGTATCTTTTCCTTTAACTCCTTCTTATTTTTATATTTTTGTCCTATCCTAAAAGTTAACTTGTGTATCTCACCTTGAGAGCACCTAGTCTCCTTCCCCAATTCCTTTATTACAGCTCTTCTTTTCCTATCTATATCAGAACCCTCATCAAATGAATCCCATTGATCTTATCTATAACATCCAACTCTTCATTGACCTCATCACTGTCATTCTCTCTATGTTTTGGTAATATTTTTTCAAGAAATTCTGCTTCAAGATCTATATTCATGTAAAAATCCCTCATATCTACTTCTACATCAGGGATTATGTTGTCTTCATCCACCTAGAAATCACTATCATCACTGTCCTCACTTTCATCACTTCTTTCAGTATTGTCTTCATCAGTCTCTATGTTATCTTCACTTCCATCATCAACTGCAAAATCTCTCATCTCTACATTCTCATCATTCATTTCATTTCTGTCATGATTCTCTTCTTTAGTGACTTCCTTATTAACTGCATTTTCCTCACCTTCATGAACCTCATCATCTATATTCTGTTCATTAGATTGTAAAATCTGTTGGTACAACCTAATATCAAAGTCAATAGCAGCCTCATGAAATTCATTAAATCCTTGGTTAATATCATTACATGCCTCATGAAATTCATTAAAATCCTGGTTAATATCATTACATTCCTCATCAAATTCATTAAATCCGTGGTCAATTTCATTATCTGCGTCATCCTTATTCCCACCAATCCTATCAACACTAACATCATCCATCACCAATTTCTTAATACATGATGACAATGGTTTGTCCTTGATAAATTCCCTTTTCTTATTATATTCAGGGGATATCGACAAGGCTAAAGCAACTTCATTTGCTATCATAGGTGGTATGCATGTTTGTGGCATGCTACTGGGTTGGTTATTAGTTGGGGGGTTTTGATGTTCATCGGTCTCCTCTAATTGCTCAGTAATAACTTTTCATACAGGTTTAGGAGCCATAAAGTAAGTAAGCAAGTTAGTAATACCATGCTCGGTGTAAACCCTTATCAGTTTATGCTCCTTCACATAGTGGGAAAGATTGAGGACATCATCATCATTTCCTAGGGCCCGTAGCCCAAAATGCATGTCTCCCTTTGGCACTCGAAAATGATAGTAGATAACTGGAGGAACTGAGAATCCTAACCCTTTCATAATCGCATCCATCTCGTGAATAGAAAACTCTTCTATATCCACTATATCTACGTATGTCACAGTACCCTCAATGTAGTTGACATTTGGAAACTTTGTGAACTCACCTCCATGATGTAGCTTGATGGTAAACAATGTAAGGTGTCCGTCTTCAACACAAGATCAAAAAAAAAAAAAACTTCAGAAGGTATGATTTCTTGTAAGAAAATCAACAAAATGATCAAAAACAAAATTACGTACCATAAACTACCCTTGGGTCGAATGACGTGCTTGACAACCTTAAGTGCCACATTGGTATATGCATTCACTACGAAAGTCGCCTGATTGAAGCTATCAACCTTGGTAATCAGTTTAGGGTTCTTGATCCTCAGTCAATGAGGAGGGAAATTTTATCGACTCATGGTTTTTAAGGACTATAAATGTGAATTAGGCTCAATATTATCCGTATGGCAATGCATACATACGAACTCTCCTTTATTAATATAAAATAAGGGGCATAAATAGGGAATGACCAAAATACCACTGATTTGACTAATCAAACATAACTTAACAGAGGGAAATAGACGGAAGTTAACCCATTGGACCAAATATGCAAGAAAATGGAAACTTTGGACTTTTGGTGCTAGCCAAAACTTTTTTGGACCAAAGTGGCAATTTTGTGTCAACCACAGGGATCATTTGTGTAGTTTTGTCAATAAAAAACAATTTTTTTTTGGGAAAATCCCACTTCATTTTGTTGCTTTTTTTTTTTCAGTATTAAAGTTTAGTTTTATCCAAAAAACTAATTATACTTAAAAAACTCAATTTTTACATCAAATTAATAAACATTAACATCGATTTAAAAAAAGGAATAAATAAAAAACGATCAGTTCAGATTCATACTATAAATCTAAAATTTAAATATTTCAATCTTAGCATTCACAAAGTAAATCTTACTTACTGTTTCAACTATTTGATTATTCACAAATTAAGTGAAATTGACATATGAATCGAAATATATTTCCATGTAGTTTTATAATGTTTTAACGCTTTAATTACTCGTGAATTAGTTTTATAAAATCAACAAATTGATTTATTCACATAGTAAATCTAACTGTATATAATTTAGTGTTCAAAATCCACAATGTGAATCTAACTTACTATTATTGACACACTGTGAATCTGTATAGATTCACAATGTGAATCTTATATGTAATTTCGATTTTTTTAAAAACTTCAATATAAATTTATGTTCAACAAATACCAAAAAATATGAGTTTTGATATATTTATTAATTTTTTTCGATAAAAATAGATCTTAACTATTCAAAAAAACATAGAAAATGAAGTGAATTTTTTTGAAAGAGAAAGTTTGTTTCTTATTTATCAATAATATGAATCTAATCTGAAATTTCAGTTTTTTTAAACATCAATATAAATCTACGTTTAAAGAATAACAAAAATATGAATTTTGATATATTTATTAATTTTTTTTCGATAAAAAGTTAATCTTAACTTTTCAAAAAATAAAGAAAATCAAGTGGATTTTTTTTGAAAAAAAAAATCATTTTTTATATATAAATATGATTTCTATGAAAGAAAAGACGAAAAATCATGAACAAGAATATATTCGAGGTTTTTTTCTCCATAAAAAGCACGACTTAAAAGGTTAAACTAATTAATATATATATATATATATATATATATATATATATATATGATTTTTCTTAAATATTTTCAATATTTTGAATTGATTATTTGGTTCATTGATTAATAATTGTTTTCTTAACCTTTCTCAATTTAATTTAAACCTTTTTTTATTTGTAGGATCTTAAGAGCATTAGATCTCAAAATCATTTATCGGTATCTTAATAAATAACCATGGTTCAAACCTAAGGATTGCATATAAATATATTTTTATGCATCTAAATAATTATTACGAGATAAAAAATTCGACCAAAAATCAAGATATTGGTAGATGATGCATACACATCATTGATGACGATATGAGATAGAATTTTTTAATTTTATTTTAGGTTTTCATGGAGCTGTCATGTTTTATATTTTGCACATGGATGGTGGGTCCATCATATTCTATTTCTTAATTAAACAGAAGTCTTTAATTATGAAATAATAAAATATTGAATGTAATCACCCATTAGTTCATATTATTGCTTCAATTATTAAAAGTATGAATACTTTTTGTTTATTTATTTTATTTAAAATAAATTGATTAGATTAATTCAAATTGCGATTGTTTTTTTAAGTCGTAACTTCTTTCCGAACGGAAGTAGTTTACAGGCCGTTAAAAATTTATACTTTTAATTATTTTAATACAATTCAGCAGGTTTTACTTTTATGTTTGAGTTATTTATTTAAAAGCTTTTAATTTTTTTTTTTATAATTTTTTACGGTTTTTTACCTTAAAATGATTTTAGGTTTGGTAATGCCTAACTTTTGGACTCTTTTTTGTCACATAAACCATTTAGCAATAGCAAGTAAAGCACCAATCATCCGATATCACTACCACTTCTTAGACAATGTGAAAAATCCAAAAATTATGATCCAAAAGTTTCATATTTGATTAGGTAAAACAGTATTCTAAAACATTGTTAATACAAATCAATAAAATAAATATGTCAAACATCATGAAAAATCAGAGTATGTACCATAAACAGAATTTATATGGTGTGTGCTATGATATCAACACGAGCTCTTCCAATTTGAACAGAAAGTACATGAAACACAAGCTAAAAATCATAAGTACAAAACATAGTGAGTTCTCCAAATTACCACATATCATACATATCATATAACAGCCCCCGCATAATTAGATAGGGCCCCACCTATACTCGCATAATGGGCCCCGCCCAAATTAGATACGGGCTCCACCTATAATCACATAATAGACCCCGATAAGCATACGTATACAAGCACATACATGTATCATAAAGATAACAATTATATCAACATAACTAATCAACGGTTGACTTTGGTGCCTTAGACCCGCTAAAATCAGTGAGGATTCTCACCTCGAATGCTGAACGAAAGCTGAATAGGTCCCGACTCCGAGTATCAGCTCTACCCAACCCCTAAACAGAAACAATTCCTTAGATACAACTCAAAATGCCTCAACACCCCGCTATAGGTCAAACTTAGTTAAAGACAAAGTTAAAAGTCAAGGTCAACAGTCTGTGTTGACCCAACACGTCGTGTTTCTCCATGAACTACAAAGTTAGGAAAAACCAAAGCCAACATGCCGTGTTTACCAATAAACACGCTGTATTCGCTGAAATCCAATCAGCTGCCTTCATCAAATCCAAGAGCTCTAAAGCTTAGATCTCGACCAAAATGATATCTAGAAGGGTAAAGTTTCCAACTTTACCCCTAGGAACCACCAAAATGGGTCCAAAAACCAAACCCTAGGCTTATTAGACTGAGGGATTAACCATTAAGCACTTAATCTTCAAAGACATAGCCCCAAAATGCAGATCATACACCGTATAGTTGGAAGACCACATAAAGTTGCCAACTTTACGTTCATGCATGTCAAAGAGAAGCTCTAAAGCTCAAGGAGGGCTTAATAAAGGACTTAATGGATTCATGAGACCTAGAATCTTATAAAGCTTGCACCTTTTAGCCAAATGAGGCCACAAGCTCAGATTTAACAGGACCGCCCATGAAACAACTTAACTCCGTAGACAATGCAAAGATGAGCCAAAAATCATAACAAAACCCCATAAGAGAATATCTAATCAATAACAAAGCAATGTATGAACTTGATACCTCATGGAGTCTGCAACGAGTGGTAAGATTCCTGGATCTATGACCTTGCTTCCAAGCTAGGCACCTTCAAACTCCAAAGCTCCTTCAAATAAGCACAAAAATCCACAAGAATCCTCAAAACTTTAAGAACACCACTAAGAAAGCTCAAAACTTGATTTAGGGTTTTAGATAACAAAGGAGCCTGGTAAGGAGAACGTTCAAGGGTGAAAGATCCAGTATGCTCAAAAGTCCTATTAAAATTATATTTCTAAGAAACATTTGATCCTAAGGGTCACACTAAAAACAACTTAATACAGCTGATTATTATTAGAAATTGATTTTAATAAATATTCATAAACTCTTATAATAAATTGGGAAAGAATAGTTATTTCAAGGAAATAATTATTTTACAATACAAGTAACACATTATTTCATAAGGTATGAATTAATAAGTCATGTATAACATTTTGGACTAGGTAAGCCTTTTGTATTTTACCAAAAGACACAGTTTATATCTTATAAACTTTGAGTTTTATAAAATACAAACTCTTTCTTATTAGTTTGATAATAAAGAAAAGGGCTGCACTTTCTTATTAATTTAATCAAAAGGAGAGACATGGCCTTCTTATTAGTTTAATCAAAAGAAATGAGGTATGATGCATGCAAAGGGAAAACACTTAATGGTTAAGGACTCTTGGTTTAACATTGTAACACCCGTGTTTCTGGGCTTGCCATTTTTAGCAATGTAATAGTCTAGGTTAACCTTTGTAACTAAATTTGAAATAATAAAAATGTATTATTTGTGAATTATGTGATTTATGTGTTTAGTTTCTTGATTTTTATAATTTAATGAATTAAGAATAAAATAAGCGTCAAAATTAAAGTGTGAGATAAGCCCGATATCTTTACATAAAGTTGTAGTCGTTGAAACAAGGATTCCGGAGATATAAGGAATTCCAAAATCCGAGTTATAACGAAGAAGTTATGACCTGTCGAAGTTTCGAGACAGAACTGGTACGACGCCGAGCGACGTAAAATATGAATTTAAGATAGAGCGATATTTAGCCTTAGCGATCTAAACGAAAGTCATAGATTTCGTTAAACCGAGAGCGTGCATAAAAGGAACGCCCAAATCTGACTTCGTATGAGGAAGTTATGATTTTCTGAAGTTTCGACGTGGCAGTGTGCAGCCCGAATACTCGATTTGAGATTGAGCGGTTTTTAGCCAAAACAATCTAAATGGGAATCGAAGATCTCGTTGTTAGTAGCAAAACGATGACAAGTTAGGCAAGAACGGACGTCAGACGAAGAAGTTATGAATTTATAACGAAGTTCATCTGTCCCGGCCTTCTAAAAATAAATAATAAAAATAAAAGTCAAAAATAGCCGACGGAGTCTAAATGAAAGTTGTAGAGTATGGTCTGACCTTCGCGTGGATATAAAGAACGTCGAAAACGGAGCTCGTATGCGAAAGTTACGCAATTTAGAAAATTGACAACTCAATTACGCCCCGCGTAATTTGAGTACGCCCCGCATACTCAGTCGGATG